TTTTGAAATGTGACCTCAGCATTAATGCGCGCGACCGTCTTCCCCATTCCAACGAAAAATAACAACAAAAGTGTAATTATGATACTACATTGAAGTAAAGAACCAATATGTTGTCTACTTTATATCCCTTATAGCAAAAACCTGGAAAAATATTTTGTTGCTTCTTACAATGTAATTGTTTTTAATGAAGCACCATTATGCGTATGTCTCATACTATGGATTCTGTGTCCAGTCCGAACACTACCCGAACGTTTCCCAACCATGGTTAGGAGTAGGTCGGGGCAAAGACGGCTGTGGTCGGCTGGTGTTCGGAGAAGTCGGCTACTTTCGGCTGAACAAAAAGCCGGATATGTTTCAAAACGTTTAAAACATTCGGGAGCTGGTCGGGAGTTTCGACCACGGTTGGCTGGTATTCGGCTGTAAGTCGGCAGAACACCAGCCAACAATTCGGGAGTAAGTAGTGTTTGGCGCGTGTTCGAGAGATACATTTGACTCAAATTTGACTCAAATTCGTTTTGATTCGTGTAGAAAGATAGGCATGGCCTAAATCTGATCAGACTGCTGTTGGGGCAAGGTTGGGGAAGGTCGTGAATTTGTCGTGATATCTGACTTTAAGAGCCAAACTAACTATGGTCCGCGATACACGGGAAAACGATTCGATTCTTTATTGACAACAGAAAGTACGTATACAGGGACTTTTGTATGGTCTTATATAACTAAAGATCTGACAAAGTTAAATACATGTATAGATAACGTCATCCTACGTACAGAATATATGTATGCGGCAAATTACGTACAGAATATATATCAGCGGTAACAACAGAGCTAGAGGTTTAACTATCTCTAACATGAAGTCTCTACGATTGAAACATTCTTTAATGTATATTCCTATTTGAACACTGTATTCGTTATCTCTCCTGAGAATGTAGTTGAATTTATCTATAGGATCTAACGTATTGAAATCAGTTCAACAAGAGGAAAGAAAAGTAAGATTGAACAGCAATAGGCGCTTATCATTGTAGAGTGTACAATCCATTATAAAAATGAAAAACAGATTCAAAGTTGGCATTCGATAATGAATGAATGAATGAATGAATGAAGACCTTTATTGTACGCAAATACCCACTGGGGTCAGTACAGGTCACAGGAAAGACGTCACAGCTTGCAATGAATATATACAATGTACAAGCTAGTGCTAATTCTATGTACTATGGACATATAGTCTAATAATTACGATAATTTGGTTTCTTCTCGCTTCTTAGTAATGATAATAGAAAATGTACCATGTGTTAGAGGATAGAAATATCACAATTTTGGTGAGTGTTCGTCTAATTACATTTTCCTATTAGTCTATTTTTGGTTCATTTTTCTATCTACTAGTCAATTTTTGAGATCTTAGACAGCTAAAACTCCAAGATGTATAAACAATATGGCGTCTATTTCTTCAAATGTTTTCTTTTTTTTCACTGAGATTGTTTACCTTCCTCCCCGTGGTCAGGATCCAGTTCAAAAGGATTCCAATCTTTTCTGAAATTGTTTTTCTTCCTACAGAAATTTGGATCGGAATTCCTTTTTTGTCTGGCCTTGGCGCCAGTCCGTTCCAAACATACACCTCCTCGTAAAATGATGTTTGGTTTCGTTTGTGTTATTTGATAGCCCTTGTCTGAACCGAGGCGTCAGTTGGGAGGGTTTCTGTTTTTAAGTTTCAACGAAGCAAATTAGATCTGCGTGTTTCCCTCACATGGAGTACTTATTCGTGTTTAACGAGTGTCTAGCTTTTGGGTGGCATTGGACGCCATTACCAGAGATAGGGCTATTCTCCTGTGGGGCCTAGGAAAAGAATATTTGGGGTCGTGTGGCGTAACGGCAGAGTACTCGACTCGAACCCAGAGATCCCGGGTTCGAGTCCTGACATGCCACCGATATTGTGCCCTTGGGAAAGGCACTTTACACGACTTTCCTCAAGTGAAAATGAGTATTCTCCTGTTCCGTATTTGTCCTCTGTGTTGGTGACAGTATGAAATAAGTTGAAATAACTTGAGTGTGCCGTCACCATGTCCAGTCATGAAATGTTGGAATAAAAAAAATTGTTTCCTGTTTCCCGACTGACCGTAGAAAAAAACTGCCGACCCTAGCCTCTTTTTTGTGTGGACCCCTGAAAGGCACATACATTTTCTAAGCTGATCGACCTTTTTTAGCTCCATGATTTGACATCTGAGTGATGAAACATTGTACAATTGGTTTCCCAACATTGACATTTAACAAAAAAATGTGTCCTCGCGCAAGTTTTACTTTGTTAAACAGCTATATTGTAGAAGTTGGATCAAAAGAGATCGCCAAAATTTTTTTGAAAAATTTAAAAGATATAATCCCTAATTTTTTCAGGACTGAAACAGGAAACACAGCATTTTTCGTAGGCTTGGGGGCAAGGAGAATACAGAGGACCATACTCAGTTTTGGGAGAATATGCATCGGCTGGATGAGGAAAACATACAATTGAATACTGTTTTCGAGGATAAAGAAAAGGTCTATTTTGATGGCCAAGCTTTATTCTTGCCTTGTTTTGTGTGTGTGTGTGTGTGTGTGTGTGTGTGTGTTTCGTCGTTTTACTCAACAAAAGCTACTTAAAGCTGGAGGTTGAGAAACAAAGGAGATGTCTCCGTAATGCAAACATGTAAGGCAGTTGGAAGAATTTAGAATTTGAACAGAAACCCGGACATCGTTAACCTGTGGGTAAACACATGAGCAAAACATTCAAGATGTTGTTGTTTTTCTTTTATTTCGAAGGCAAGCAAAGACAAAACCCACTTCATTCTTTTATGTACAATAGATAAAAGAAAGAGCAATGGATGCATTAGATACATATTGAAAATATAGTACTATGTATTTCGGTAACTTCTCGCTAGATGGTGCTGTGACATCACAACGGGCTCCAATGGGTACATTTAACATGCATTTCGGTCATACATATTTAAACAGGGTTACCCACTCAGTGATGAACACTGCTTTTCAGTGGGCCCTAAAATTGAATTGAATACTAGGAACTTATAGTTTCATGTATGTACTAACTGTAGAGTGGATACGTCATGCAAATTTATTCATCCTTACTAACTCCATGAAACTGTTGATTAGCCAACTGACTGCTATGGTCAGGAAACGATACTTCATTGTTGAAAATATAGGTTGACACATTATCAATACTATGTGATTCGGCAAATTCTCGCTAGATGGTGCTGTGACATCACAACCTAGCAAGAAAGCGATAATACCGGTTATGCATGACCCTCCCCACGATTTGACGCTAAGTTGAAAATATTAGAAAATTAAACCATGCCAAGGGACAGTCTTTCTACTAATACTACCAATATAATACTTCGAATTAAAAAATGATACGTGGAGATCATAACTAAAGTCAGACATCTGTATATTGAGTTATTGTGTATATCCTTACACGTGACTATCACGTGACATACGCATGCACTGAGAAAGACCAAGGACGTTCTACAGAATGTCGAATGTCCTTGCACATTCAGAACCTTCCCCAGAGCACAAGCCGACATAGGTTGGCTGAAGTTTGGGAGCAGTCTGACTAGCTTAAGTTAAGGCAACGCCTACCTTTCTATTCGCGCGCAATTCGAATCGAATTTTTAGTTAAGTTTGAGTTTTGTTCGAGCCAAATCGGCCTGCAGGTCGCTTTTCATCAAGGTCAGGAGGGAAGAGGTAAGTAAAGGTCAAACCAAATATGTAACAAAGGCCTTGTTCACACCGAACCGCCTGAATCGCGATTCGGGTACCTCACATTTCTCACATCTGGTCCACGTGCCAAACATTCCATTCAAACCGTGCCCGACCACAATGCGCCAAATCTACATTCATTGTTGTTTGATGAAAACACGCGTTATCAATGTCAGAGGTCAACGATCTGCATGCTGTTTCCCCCCTCCCAGCGTACCTCGACCGAATGCCGACGTGGTCCCGCCAGAGGCTACTCTGGCCAGAGGCGGTGAAGCTCGTCCTAGAATGGACAATATGTGAAGTAAACCGTCGAAATCACATTGCGTTCAGACGAAAATCGCGGTCTGGTGAAACCGGTTCGAAACCACCTCCCGAAGTGGTTTGGGATCGAAGCGCTTTCAATGCGATTTGGAGCGTTCAGATGGGGCCACTTGAACAGTTACAGTAATATATCATACATGTAATTGCACCACCTGAATGACGGATTACTTACAGATAGTTGGAGGCTAACAGAGGCCATGTCCTTAGAAACACTTCTATAGAAGTACAATTACATACAACAACAAATCGGCCTTCAATACGCCTCCATAACTCGTCGAATTACTTACACTGCATGTTCACTTGTCAAATTGTACGGAAGACGAAAAGCACTTAGTAGACACGTTTTTTTTTTTAATTACCTGTTAGGGCTTATTGTGACATAATGCTGAGGTCACATTTCCAAACCCGGGCCCGACCGGGCTGTTTGTATAAACGAAAAATCAACAATACTTATCACGAATATATATAAATAGTATTCATGATCATCTTCTTAAAGATTTTTGTGTTTTGTTATCTTTTATATCGTCCTTTTCTTTCGCGAAAGCTGCCCGGCCGGGCCCCGGTTTGGAAATGTGACCTCAGCATAAGCAACTTTGACTTTGCAGTTAGTTGCTTGCAGTTAGTTGTTTAGTCCATGGTGGTTGATGTTGGCTTCTGGTTGATTGCCAACAAAACAATGGCGGGCAGTGCTCGTTGCTAAGGCGGTCGGTAATATAATAGTTGTTGTTTTTATTTTATTCCAACAATTAAGACGTGTTGACGGCACACTCAAGTTTTTATCACCTTTTTTTATGACGCCACCAAGACAGAGGACACCACGATACTCATTTGCACCTGAGTGAAGTGATTACAATTCGTGTTAAGTGCCCTTTCTAATTGCTTCTGTAATCAAAGATCATGCGATATATAAATAGATAGAGAGATAAGCCACTGAATAAAGAGATTCTTGGGCGGTGGCATGGGAGGGTTCGAACTCAGGACCTCTTGGTTCCGAGACGAGCAGTCTACCGATAGATGATGCTCCGTGTGGCGGTGATCGGTGCTGGTCCGGCCGGCCTGTGTGCGGCGCGTCATCTGTCGGCTGAGCCCGATCGCTACCTGCCGACCGTTTACGAGCAGACAGCGGCGGTGGGCGGGGCCTGGGTCTACCGGGACCGGGTCGGGACGGACGACAACGGGCTACCTGTACAGTCCACCATATACAAGAACCTAAGGTATAACAACAACCTGTTTACATCTTTTACATTTTTGTACCTAACGTTACTTAGTGACCTATAGCTGTTTCTGACTCCTCTTCCAAATATAATATGTAATATATAATACATATGATAGAAATATTTATTATCATCTAGTCGTAAATGTATATATAATATACAAAAACCTAAGGTATAACAACAACTTGCTTACATCTATTGTTGTAGCTAATGTTAGTGACTTATAGCTATTTCTGAGTCCTCTTCCAAATATAATATGTAATATATAACACATATAATATAATATAAATATGTATCATAATCTAGTCGTAAATGTACATATAATATACAAAAATCTAAGGTATAACAACAAACTGGTCACATGTATTTGTTGTAGCTACTTAGTGACTTATAGTTTTACCTATAGTTTCTAAGTCCTCTTCTCAATACTGTAGCATTTTATCTTATGCCCACCATTCAAATCGTTAAAACCGTTATAATGGGTACATAATATGTGTTTTGTTTTCCTCTAATATAGGACGAATGTTCCCAAGGAGGCGATGTTCTTCCCAGACTTTCCTCACGACAGCAGTATACAGTCTTACCTCCATCACAGTGAGGTGCTGCAGTATCTAGAGAACTATGCAGAACACTTTGGACTTCACAAGTATATTCAGGTACCTATATTTGCATATTTAGGTACGCATACTGGTCATTTGCCTATTCAGGTACGTATACTAGTCATTTGCATATTCAGGTATGCATACTGGTCATTTGCATATTTAGGTACGCATACTGGTCATTTGCCTATTCAAGTACGCATACTGGTCATTTGCATATTTAGGTACGCATACTTGTCATTTGCCTATTCAAGTACGAATACTGGTCATTTGCATATTTAGGTACGCATACTTGTCATTTGCATATTCAGGTACACAGACTTGCCATTTGCTACCTGGATTGAATTTGACATATGATAGAAAGATGAGAAGAGATTTGAGATGCGGGGGGAAGCATTTGTTTGTTATTTGTTTGTTTGTTTGCTAACCATCTAGGATAAACGTGTCTTTTTTTAATATTCTGTTTTGCCATGAATTAATGATTGAGTGAGTGAGTGAGTGAGTGAGTGAGTGAGTGAGTGAGTGAGTGAGTGAGTGAGTGAGTGAGTGAGTGAGTGAGCGAGTGAGGACGAGAAGAAGAAACATGAGTATATAAAAAAATAGAAAATAACATATTTCATCAATACTTATGGAGCGAAATAGAAAAGAGATTTTGTTTTGCTTTGTTTGTTTATCAACCCCCTGTTCCCCAGTTCTAAAACAAGAAAAAAATCTCATCCATGCCTTTGGAGCGAAATATAAAAAGAGATTTGTTTTGCTTGTTTCTCAATTCAACTCATTCAACGTAGCTTTTCAAATTTCCTGTTCCCCAGTTCTAACACAATATAAAAACATTTCATCCATACCTATGGAACGAAATATAAAAAGAGATTTGTTTTGCTTGTTTCTCAATTCAACTCATTCAACGTAGCTTTTCAAATTTCCTGTTCCCCAGTTCTAAGACAATATAAAAACATTTCATCCATACCTATGGAACGAAATATAAATAGAGATTTGTTTCGCTTGTTTCTCAACTCATTCAACGTAGCTTTTCCAACCTTCTATTCCCCAGTTCCTAACCAGGGTTAACGTAGTGAAACCTGTCCACGTTCACGGCGACGTGAAATGGCAAATCACGACATCCAAAGTCACGGCACCAGACAGAACCAGCATGGAACAGTTTGATGCTGTCATGGTCTGCAATGGCGGGTAAGTTGTCGGGTATTTGCATAAGCAATGAGAACCATTTACAGTCGTCTTTACGACTTCGTTTGGCGAAGGTATGAGATCGTGGAACTCTAGTTTTATTTTTTCATCCTATTTGCTTGTTTATTTTCTTTTTTCTTTTTTTTTTGTTACACACTCATAATTTGTTACACAGTCATAATTACCCTAAGGCCACAGCAAGTAATTTTCATGGATGACATCAGCGGGCGCATTGATTTTCGCCCATTAAAAAAAACCTTGTTTTTTCGGCCCGCCTTGTTTTTTTTCCGCCCGCTCGCATTAGATTTGGAGTCTACGGAGGATGTCATCCATAAAATTTACTTGCTGTGGCCTAATGAAAATGGCAGACGGTTATCGAAACGTTGGCTCTTGTTAAACAATTGGTTGTGAATAAAGAATTTGGCATTCAATTACACCAAAAGTTCAAGAAAGTTCATCCGTGTTGGTACGCTCGTAGTAATCAAAGTAAAACATTGAACTTTATTTCGACACAAAGATTATACAGATCGAATTCGGTCACGTGCCTGTAACCTTAACTCTCGCGAGATTACGTTTTGAAGTGATTGGTTATTAATTATCCTGATGAAGGCGACAGTGGTCGTTGAAAATTTGATCTCTGTGTAATCTTTGTGTTGGAATAAAGTCCAATGTTTACTACAACAAACTTTGGTTTCCTCTCTCCAGGGGTGCCAGAGTACGCAGTGCAATTTTACGGAATACAGTGCAATCGTATTAGTAAATAAATTGCATTGTATACGAGTAAAACTGTACTGTATACTAATACGATTGTACTGTATTTCGTAAAATTGCACTGTATACTAGTAAAATTGCACTGTATTCCGTAAAATTCCACTGTATTCCGTAAAAAGTCCACTATATTCCGTAAAATTTCACTGTATACTCTGGAATCCCTGTTCTTATGCAGGCCTTTTATCACCCCGTACACTCCGTTTATCCCCGGTGCCAGCCAGTTCCAGGGCCGGACCCTGCACAGTCACCACTACCGGGTCCCTGAACCATTCCGGGGGAGAAACGTCGTCATCGCCGGCGGTCTCTCCTCTGGTATCGACCTAAGCGTGGACATCTCCGAGGTGGCAAAACATCTCGTACTCAGTCATTCCAACCCACCCGCCATGCACATACACAACCTTCCACCTAACGTAACTCAAGCGTCTAGAATAGAGAGTATCAAAGGTCCAAACATTGTCAGATTTCGGGACGGGCAAGAGTTCTGGGCAGACGATGTCGTGTTCTGTACAGGTTCTCGTCCAAGTTTTCCCTTCTTGACTCCTGAATGCGGCATAACAATCCACCAGGGCAGAGTTTCCCCGCTGTACAAGCATGTTATCAACACCACCCACCCTACTATGTCATTTGGGGGGCTCACAAATCACTCCATATCATTCGCTTTATTTCAACTCCAAATCAAGCTTGCTTTAGGGACCTTAGATGGTAGCATCAGCCTTCCCTCTAAGACAGAAATGGATGAAGAAGTTGACCGAGACTTTGCAAGCCGTCTAGAGGCAGGGCTAGCGCCGCATCAAGCCCATGAGATATTCCCTCTGTATACTTCATATATCACAGAGCTAGCCGCCCTAACCGGGCAGCCTGATCCTCAGGACCAGACTTCTATGAGTGCAGACTCGTTCATGCGTATGTTTGCCGATCCTGTGGGCTACAGAAACGCAGAATATAAAGTAACAGTGCCAGGGACTTGGGAGAGGGTTCCTTACTTAGATGAGAACCAAGCTGCTAAGTAAAGTGCAGTTCTGCCTTTTTGTTAGATGTTTCGGTTTTAGAAGCTTCAGAACTAAAAGACTGAGATCCTTTCTCTACCATACAATTTACCTTTGCACCATGGACTTGAAATCGTCCTGACTTGGACATATTCTGTAGCCTGGGTTATAACCGGATTTTCGAATGTGATTTTTTCGAGCGTTGCGGAGCGAAAATCCGGATGGTACCCAGGCTACACATTCTGTACCTCGGCATTGTATCTACTAGGGTACTTGTAATTGTGTTTATTGATCTAAATGGAATATGTTATGCTATACCTTTTTTTTAATTCAGTGTTAAGGTGTAAATGAACTTTTTAAAACTACATTACATATTGTATATTTAAGAACAAGTTGTAAGAAAGACTTAAAATTCAGCATGTACCGTGATACCTTTCGTTGATAAACCATCATCATATATGTAAATTTATTGTTTATTTATTTTGTGCAAGAAAGTCAAATCATATTGTTGTAAATGGTAACGAGTATATTTGAATGTGTTCTTCAGTTCTACATAATGGAATAAACAAAGGCTTAAACAAACCAATATGATATATCATCATCAGTTGATATATGTAATAAAACAATATGATATATCATCATCAGTTAATATATGTAATAAAACATGTATTAGCAATGCATGTCCATTCATTGAATCATGATACAATCATTTTCGCAAATATGCTTTGGTGAAAAAACAGTAACAAAGGTGGTATTAACAAAAGTTTTACATTGTATCTCTTTTTTTTCTGACATTGGCAAGTTCAGTACATATATACAAGGTTACGTATGTATGTGCACATGGTCCAAAAAAATCTCAACCCATTGATCTATTGATGATAAGGTGTATTTCGGTGCACAGTGAGCTCATAATATCTAGCACATATTTAGATGATATGAAAACAAGAAGTACAAAAAAATTGTAACAATGAAACGTCGAAAAAAATCGATTAAAACTGCCGCGATACAAGCCGCGAATGTTTAAAAATGTTTACAACATTCTGGTGTGGACAGGAGGTTGTGCCATGGTTGGCTGGTGGTCGGGAGTAGGTCGGGTGTGGTTGGCAGTCAAATCTGACTCAAATTTAACTCAAATTCGATCCGTATAGAAATGAATCCGTATAGAGAATGAACTTTTTGTGTTGTTTTCAATGCAACATGGAACATGTGGTTTGTAACGTTACAGCATCAGTATAGCGTTTCCACTATAACGTTACAAACCACATATTTAAAAAAAAATCATTCTCTATTTGTTTTCAGATTCGACCATAGTAATTTAATTAACGTTGAGCATAACATGCCCCGACACCTCAAAACACACTGGAAAACAAGCTGTTTAACGTCAACAGGATCATTCCGATGCCTTTCTGTCCTTTGCAAATGAGGTTTAGACCCCTGTTTTCGCAATGCATCCTGGGGATGGAAACTCGTGAATAGGCCTATTCGGGGAGGGGGGGAGAGGTCACACCGCGAGGCGCAGTAGAGCCATGACGGCGGCAGAAATGCCCCCCGCCACCGGCAGGGTGACGACCCAGGCGAACACGATGTTGCGGAAGAGTTTCCAGTCCACCGAGGCCCGAGATCTCAGCCACCCGACGAAAACAATTGAACCAACCTGCAAGCATAAAATAAAAACTGTAAATATAACTAGAAATGTAACATTTGCGAAGCAAATGCATAATGTTTACCTTCGGATATAGTCTGCTCTGTTAATTCTTCCTCATTCACATATATGTGCGTGTACATGGTGACATGAGTCTAAATGCCTTCTATGAAATCGCAACATTATGTAACCCAACACCAGTTTCTATGGTGACAGACGTTAACAAAAGAGGCCATTGGCCAGGTCAGAGATTAGTGTTTGGAACAGAAGAAGAAGAAGAGGAAGAAGAAATGGAGCAAAAACAATATGTTTTCCTTCGGTAAACATAATAATATAAAGAACACCATCGAGCAATTTTGGCCTTACACGCCAAGGCATACTGGCCAGGGGGAACACTTGATGGACCCATCAATGATTCAGAGATTCAGTGGACGGACCACGATTCCTTTCAGACATGCTATTCCGCTTAATGTCACTAGATGTCACTGTTGATTGCATCCAGAAGCAACCGGATATGATTTTGGTAACGGTCAGACGTTTCAAAAAGACCCACTACCTTTCGTGAAGGGCACTGGACAGTTGTCTTAATCTACAAGGTGTTGTGTTTATGGTAGAGATTGTCCGTTTGTATGTATGTATGTATGTATGTATGTAACGTTATGCTTTATTTGGTTTAGCATGATAACTCAAGAACCTATGGTTGGATTGATATGAAATTTAGTAGGTGGCTAATAATTGAGCTATCAAAGAAATTATGATAAATTTTGGAACCCCTGGCAGCTTTCCTTGATACTGCAACAGTACTTCTACTTCGATATCAGGTGCCTTGGATATGCTGGGGGCATTATTTTTGGGTGGCAGATATCATTTGGGCCATGTGAAGAATTGGTGTAGGTTTAGACCCCCTAGCAGCTTTTTTGGAACTGCAGGGGCCATTTTTGTTGGCAAGTTTGGGGACCACAACTCAATATAGGCTTGACAGATTGTCTTGAATTTGGTTATGTAGGTAGCTTAACTGATGATTGACATAGTCAAATACTCATAATGCAAATCAGGAAATAAGTTGCATGATAAATTATCGAAATCATAAGAATTAGCTGCATTCTATAACTTTCAAACACGTGACATATATAATTTGAAAAGAGAAAATAATCAATGGATATCAATTATTAAATTGATCTGCATGATTAATGTGAAAATGATATATACCAATGATTTACATTAATGACAGGATTTCAATATTTGATATGCTGTATATGTTGAATAATGCTATATTGTGCTTAAAACAAAATACAGTAGACTCTACCTTGCAGTGTGTTGTACTTATAGGAATTCCAATGTTGGAAGCAAGAAGTACTGTGGTAGCTGCTCCTATCTCGATGGTGAATCCACTGTGAAGGTAAAGAACAAACCCAATCTAAAGCCAAACAGATATGAACAGACTATAGTGTTTTCTGTGGGTAATAGTATATAGGTAAGGGCAAATGTCATGAAGCATGAACGTCCTTGCATGAAGATACAACTCAAAAGGTTAATTAACTGGAGTTAATTTTACACTGCTATTTTTATGTTTATCGAAGGAAAACATATTGTTTTGCAACGTTTCTTCTTCTTCTTCCGCTCCAAACACTGGCCTCTGACCTGACCAATGAGCTGATTTGTTGACGTCTCTCACCATGGTAACTGGTGTTGGGTTACATTATGTTGCAATTTTATAGTAGGAGGGATTTATACTCCTGTCTGGCCATATATACATACCCAAAACGATCGCATAGCCTTCTGACGAAGGCAACTAGGACGATACCACTCACCTAGAAGGGGTGATGGGGGTGAGGTCCTCCCCGACTGTTTTGATGACCCTGCGGCCCAGTACCCACAGGCCGATGATCATGCCCGCGCCGCCGTAAAACAAGATCCAGATCGGGGTGACGGACTTCTGCGCAACGTTGCCTTCCTGGTAGATCAGCCACAGCGCCACCACGGGGCCGATTGCATTGCTGCAGGTAATCAGAAAAAAACAAATACAAGGTACAATTTATGGCAACGACTATTGAACATAATACAAAATAGAAAGGGGTATATAGGTGATATATAGGTTATATCTGTATCTGTATCGGTATGGCCGGTATAACCGCCCTTCGGCTTAACACGCCAGCTTCACAGGCACGCGGCGCGGCGGCAGCTAGCTATATCACACCGAACGACTTGTTACACTCAATCTTTGCACATTTGATTGCAGGAGTTGTTTAAAGCTTTCTAGTGATGATGCCCCAACTGTGCTTGGTGGCAACGAACTCCAGTCTACGATAGTTCTGGGGAAATACGAGTTTATGAACACCTCAATTCTTGGTTGATATATATAACGGTTATATATAGGTATTATATATATATACATAATAACAAAACAATCTTTTATGTATTAATCTGGTGTAACGCATTACACCACAGCGAAACGCAACGAATGCAGAAATAACTATGCCACCGTAGACCAAAAATAAGTCAGGGGTCTTTGACCTGATTAAGATATCAAATTATTGAAAAAAATATTGTGTAAAAATAATGCCAGAAGTCCCATACATACCTGACATCATTTCCTCCGTGAGCAAAGGCACCAAATCCCGCCGACAACACCTGGAGAAACTGGAACAATTTCCCCACCTCGGGGGTGTCCTTGACTTCCTTGATGTGCACGTGAGTGTTTGCGTCCTCGTGATCTTCCAGCGTTCCCTCAATTCTCGATCCCAGACATCCATTTTGCGTTGTTGTTATATCCTCTTCCTTGGTGGAAGTGTTTACTACAATATCTCCATTGCTGACATGTCCATTTGCCGTAGATTTGTCCTCTATATTAGTGTTATTATCGGTTGGAAGGATTAGACCATTCGGGGAGACAATCATTATCACACCGTTTGAGTTGGGAGTGTCTCTAAGCTTCTCCTCTCTTTCCTGAGAGTCGGTTTCTTCATACGCCATGTTACAGTGGCCCTTGTCATCTTCTGGTTCATACTTGACAGAGTTCGGCAGTTTTGTGTTGGGTAGTTGGGAGAGATGTTCGATGGACTGTCGCCACATGGACTGTGAGGGCACCACGGATAACTTGGCGTCGTGGATTTCTGGACAAAAAAACATATATTACTCAATATTGTTGAACCAGCATGACTTTTAATCTATAACTTATTTTAATGCATTGTCAATGAGCGAATATTCTCTTACTGTCACGACCAATTCTTTGTATATATGACGCTCCTCTTTTATTGATTATTGTACTGTATTTTAATCATGTACTGTATTTTGCTATTGCACTACCTTTTAACCCTATATCGCCAACCATTATATTGTACGTTTATGTAATATTGATCTTGATTCAGTGTACTCCACTGCGACATCAATAAAGCCAATCTGAATCTGAATCTGAATCTATTATAGGTCTCAAAATGAAACTTTTTCAACAGTCAAATATCGTCCGATGAATCTTGGTAAGGCCGCAATGACTTGATCTATGGATGACATCCGCGTGCGCATTGATTTTCACCTGTTCTAAAAAAATCACCCTCTCTTAGCTCTGGCCTGGGTGTCATCCTCTGTAGTCCATGGTAGCTAGCTAGCGACAATAGGCAGCCGGTGGTAACTACAGAGGATGGCACCCAGGCTGCCCATGGAACTCAAGAACTCAGTACTGTACCGACTCATAAATGCTGAAAAGGGCCAGCATGTGCCGGCTTGTCGTAAAAGTCGCTATGTAAAACCGCAAATTCACAATACTGTCACGAGTGCTATTTACATACATTTTTTACATGTATGAATTGTTCGTTTTTTGTTCTCGCAAACTGCCCGACCGGGCCCCGGTTTGGAAATGTGCTCTTAGCATAAACAGGGCTTATGGAATCATGATTACTAAAGATTGATGTGAAAAAGAAGAATTTTGATTACCTTGGATTTTTCTTCTCATCCACGGCACAAAGAACAGCCATACCAGCAGGCCGATCAGCATCCCTCCCCCAAAACTCAGGATAAACACACCGTACAGGGGGATCTTATCAAACCCCAGCACTGCATGATAGAAAAAACATATTTTTATTTTATTCCCATGGATTTATGAGCAACGGATAGCAAGCACGTAGTGTGCTTATAAGATCCTTTGCTTAAGAACATATAAACAGATCGAAATACAGGTTGAAGTAACAAATACAAAATGTATAGCGGATATGAAATGAAAATGGCTGGCCCACCAATAGACATAAAATGAATAGCGTTGTTAATGTCATAGATTAAATCTCCCAGAAAGTGAAATGAAATTGAACACAGTATCGAAAATTCGGCAATTAATAGAGTATAGGGGGGAGGGGCTACTGGTAAGGAGTAAAGTGCATAATGTGGTATCATTTGAGTATATTTTTCCAATGTAAGCAGGATATGGACAACATTTTATCAAGGAAACGTGGAATATCACAGGCAGTGCTCTAGCCAGCGTCCGTCTTTCTGTCTATTTGACACAATTTACTGCTCAGGACAGACAAACAATTTGCCCAGTCTGTCATTTGACGAGAAAATATTCAACACGTAAAGATATGGAAAGAAACGTCTAAACTAAGGTAACATTTGCAAAGCAAATGCATAATGTTTACCTTCTGTCAATTCTTACTCAAACACATTCATATATATACAGGAGTCTAAATCCCTCTTGCTATGAAATTGCAACATGATGTAACCCGACACTAGTTACCATGGTGACAGACGCCTGGTTCAGGTCATTGACCATGTTTGTTTGGAGAAGAAGAAAAAAAAAGAAACAAAAGCTAAAACATGTTTTCCTTCTGCGAAGGTAAACATAATACTCAGTAAGATGACGTCGACGTCACATTTTGGAAATATGAATATTCATACTTACGCGGGGCCCCAGTGTAGAATATTGAGAACAGGTTGATGATTAAGGTGAATGCGTAGAATCCTGGAAGCAACTTCAAGCCAGTTTGGGCTGCGTTGTCCTACATGTAACATAACAACGATGTTAAAGGGATTCAAATATTGTTTGTGTTGTGTGTCTATCAATCTGTGTGTGTGTGTGTGCGTGTGTGTGTGTGTGTGTGTGTGTGTGTGTGTGCGTGTGTGTGTGTACACATGTATGTATTTCTGTCATTGTGTGTGTGTGTGTGCGTGTGTTTGTTTGTGTGTGTGTGTGTGTGTGTGTGTGTGTGTGCACATGTATGCATGTCTGTAATTGTGTGGGGGGTGTAATTGGGCGTGTGTGTAACAAAATTATCAGATTTTGCAATATTGCAGAACACTGAAAACAAGTATTATATCTGTACAGATAGTGACCAAGTACTGTCCTGACCTTTCTCAAGATGAAGAACTCCACAAACTTGAAGAATGCTGACGTGATGAGTCCAGACAACAGGGGAGAGACCACCCAGGAACCAACTGGATATAAAAAACAAAGATAATTCACCTCAGAACTACACATTTATCAAGGTGCAAACAGTGTCACAACGCCACCATGCGAAAAGGAGTTGCACAGCCTATTCGGTCCCTGATGAAAGTAGCTGAGGAGTTAACGGACATGTCGGTCAGGTAAATACTGTATGGGTGGTGCATTAATACCCTTATGTATATGTAACTTACCAATTTAATTTACCTAACCAACCAGAACAAAGAAAAATAGAGCGAGCACATCTAACTGTCGTCAAATACAAGTATCTTCTAGCCATATCGGCAAAACATATTATAACATTTCATGGACATTTCCGACTGAAGCCTTACCAATAAGTCCGATCTGGGGCCAGTTCACGCCTTTAGCCCCGGCTGCTACGAGAGTGAACCCGACGGTGGCTCCGACAATACTGTGGGTCGTCGACACCGGTAGTCGGGCAAACGTCGCCACCAGAAGCCAGACACCACTACCTGAACATCATTACATGTTTTTAATCATTATTATTCCAACAAGTTATCACAAGACATGGTGACGGCACACTCAAGTATTTTTAAAATTATTGTGAATGTAAGTTCTGGGCAGGACCAGTGTGAAGTCACTAGGAGGATAGTCAGTGTGAATGTAAGTTCAGCACCAGGGACTGGACCAGTGTGAAGTCACTAGGAGGATAGTCAGTGTGAATGTAAGTTCAGCACCAGGGACAGGACCAGTGTGAAGTCAGTAGGAGAATAGTCAGTGGAATGTAAGTTCTGGGCAGGACCAGTGTATATGTGTTAAAAGCTTAAAAGTTGAGACTGAAATATTGAATTTCATGTAGTAAGAATTACAGTTTGTAGATAGGTTCTGACCTTACCTGACAATGCCGCCAGGTTTCCGAACATCAGTAGCTCCTCTGTACCGTTGAATACGTTCACATCCACGATCCCCTTCCGTATCGTGTCCGATACTTTGGCGCCGACTAGAATGGCTCCAAGCAGCTCGAAAACGCTGGCGAGGACGCAGGCTTGACGTAGGGTCAGGACTTTGGCGCCGACGGACGTGCCGATGGAATTGGCGACGTCGTTCGCTCCCACGGCGAAGGCGAGAATAAAGGCGATTATAAAACCGACAACAACCGGCCACACTGCCCCAATCATTATTAAGCTCTACAAAAAATCTTCAAAGTCTAGAAAGGCGATTTAGCTCCTTTTCCTGAACAATTTTGTGTTGGGTTGGGTAGGTGTTTTCTACGTAGCGGTTTTGGCACCTTTCTGTAAACAAGAAGATAGAGCTTGAGTACGAGACTTGAGTAGAGCTTTTACAAGACATGGTTTTCAAACAGTCATTCTGAATCTACAACGCTGACATGAAGCAAGAACAATTCACTGGGCATTCCATAAGTACCGTGGCCGACAGGTACAATAAGCAACACACATACTTTTTTGGATCAACACACCTATTTTGGGTACATGCATGCCTACTTTGGGTGCACACATGCCTACTTTGGGTGCACACATGCCTACTTTGGGTGCACACATGCCTACTTTGGGTGCACACATGCCTACTTTGGGTGCACACATGCCTACTTTGGGTACCGGGTGCACACATAACTACGTTGGGTGCACACACGCCTACTTTGGGTGACGCGCAGATTGAACTTTAAATTTTCGAATTCATTACAATTGTCCGAACGGACGCGCGCGCACATTGAACGTTTCAAATTCATTCTAGTTAATGGGGTAGGGAATTTTCCCGACCAGCCTCGTAACCCCTGCTTCTCCTATTGGGTCAGTTAGTCCTCACTACTTGTGAGAAATTGGGCTGGTCTCAAACATGATGTTTCTGACTCAGGGAGAAGAGTTGCTGTTACAGTTCTACTCGGTAACCCGTAACCCAGGTGAGTGGTCATACCATTCAGGTGGTAGCACCATTCACCTTGCAGTGGCCTAACGGCCGTGTTACGTACGCGTGGCGACCACTAAGTAAAAAAAAGTTGTCCGAACGGACGCGCACATTGCACTTTTCAAATTAATTGAAGTTCACCGATAGGTCGCATTTAACAACGAAATCCATAGCGTTTTGCGGACTTGCAGATTTGTAATCTAAAAACCAAGGCCAACGATTAGATAACGTGCTCACGTTGTTTGCAATTGTCCTCAGGCGACCAGACGTGTTGATATAAGAGAAGGTCAAACATACGTGACGGCTTGTTTAAAAAGCAAACACTGGCAAAACCGCTGAATTGACAGTCTCAGTAGAAAAGTCGGTCACGTAACAACAAATACGTCAACCTATGTGATATACACAAAGTACATACATGTATACACCAGGTGTGTTACACAGAAGGGTGGTTATACCGACTACACAGTAATAACTCCGTATATATAGCAACCAGCGCAACACCAAATATGGCAGACGTTAGCCCCTGTCACATATGGCCGAACACTACCGAACTCCCCCCAACCATGGTAAGGCCATGTTGATTTGATTATATGGATGACATCCTCTGGAAACCCCAACACTGATGCGAGCGTGCGAATAAAAAAAAAGTTTTGCAAAAAAAAAGTTTCTTTCATCATGACATCTACGTGGTCATGAAGGTTGTACAAAGGACACAGAGTGTGGTATGACGAATAATCTAATCTTCAAATTCATTTCTTCACATTTTCGTCTTTTTCATTTGATTTTGAGAGTCTACGACATTGGTATCGTTTTCAAATATTTTTTTTTGCAACTTACGGTATATATTTGATCATTTTGCAAGTGTTTTGTACGATTTACACTATGGTTGAAAACTTTTTTTTTTGGAAACGGCCGAAAATTCATGCGCGCGAGGATGTCATCCATATAATCAAATCAACATGGCCTAAGGAATAGCTCGGGAGCAAGGTTTGTGACGCATTCACAAATTTGCCCTCCAGAACGGTAGCCGAACGCCCGCCAATCAAGGTTAGGAGTGGGTCGGCTGGCTTTCGGCTGGGTCGGCAATGATTCGACTGCACCAGCCGAATGTTTCAAAACATTTTAAAACATTCGTGAGGCGCTCGGGAGGTTCGATCAATCTTGGCTAGTTTTCGACCGTAAGTCAGCAAAACACCGGCCAACCATCTGTAAGTAAGTCAGCAGTGTTCGGGGAGTGTTCAGGAATCAAATTTGACGCCAATTTAAGTCAAATTCATTTTGAGTGAAATTGAAAAGGTGGCCTTGCCCTAAATCTGGTCAGAGTGCTCCCGAACACCAGCCGACCTGTTCGGGACGTTTGTGGGACGTTCGTGAATGTGTGACAGGGGCTTGACTGCCTTAGCCTCCGGTGCAGGCTCCGGGGCGAGTAGGAATTTTGACACAGCGTTTTGAAGAGTTTTTAACGCGTTATTTTAATTGCCGGCCATCCAACAACACGGAACCTTCTCTCGGCGGCTGATTGTAGGATGGCCGGCGTTCCTACACGCGTTAACAACTCTTTAAAACGCTGTATCAAAATCCCCACCCGCCCCGGAGCCTGCACAGGAGGCTAGACTGGCTGATGTACGGCCATGTCGGCTACTGTTTGGCTGCGCCATCCGTGTAAAACTATGTTTTTAAAAAGGTTGGAAAAATATTCGTGAGGACGGGAGGTTTGACCATATTTGGCTGATGGTTGGCTGGCGGTTGGGAGTAGGTCAGCAGTGTTCGGGGGGGATCGAATTTGACTCAAATTTAACTCAAATTCAATGCGATTCGTATAGCTATAGAAGGTGCGAGTGGCCTAAATCTGGTCAGACTGCTCCCAAAGTTCGATCAGCCGACCTTGTCTCTGAATGTATGACAGAGGCTTAAAGGATATACACAAAGTACATATTTATCAAGCTGGTGTGTTACGCAAAAGGGTGGTTATACCGGCTATAAAATTCAAATACAGATACAGATACTAAGAAACTTGAAAGTGTCTATAGCTAAGGTTGAATAGAATAAAATATATGCACTGAGAAAACCAAACCAAGCACTCGAACAGGGTACAATAAAATGCACCAAGTCAACAAAGAGATATAAAATATCCCTTGATCTAATAAGATCAAGAGATATTTTGAACAAAGAAGTTAGATAAGACCTCCTTGAACTGAGAAACTTGTTTACTTAATGCACATGTTTTATACATTTGCTGTTAACCTACAATGATTTAATGCCCATATCCAACGCCATAACTGACCATAAACTAGTATCATAAGCTCTAAACAATGTGGTCAACAAACAATGCAGACAATACAGAACAAAGCTATAAAGTAATATATCAGAGAAATACTTCAACACAATTGAGAATGCCGAGAAATGAACTACTTTACAGTTTAGAATGTTAAAAAGAAGAGATTGCAGAATAATAATTATTTCAGTATTTCATTCGCGTTATGGTCACGTACAAGCCCTCAACACACCCACCACCAGCGGACCAATCATGGCTCTCCTATAAGAGTCACTGGGAGTCCATGGTCATACCCGGCCTTTGCTGCTGACTTATATTATTTTGCACATATACACATAAAGCAAATTTAAATACATAATGATTTGTGACAACCCCTGCATGCTATACATAAGGATATATATATTAAAGACTGTATAGATATTAGAAACTCCTCCAAAAGGTCATACCTATCCCATACTAGCTAGCCACCCACCTTTGTATTAGATAGGTTAAGCATTATGAAAATGTAGTTAATGTACTTAGTAGATGCGATACTCTGTACCCTGTACAACTATTTTGCAATAAAGTTATCAGTATAATCATAGTTCTGGATATAAAGGGAAATAAAGAAGGCAACACACCGTATTCTAGAGCAGATACGTTGAATTGATATACGTACGTTTTACGTAGGGCATTCCCAATTTTTCGTATTTTCCTGCTCCGATATTTTGTAAATAACTATATACATGCTGCTTATGGACACAATAATATCTACCATCTACCAGGATACCGGTGAAATATTAAAGATATTCCTGTACATCGGCTTTAGGGGTCTATGTACTGAAATACGAAGTCTATCAATGCTGCCATATTCAACACATTGATATATATAGTATTGATACATATTGATACATAGTAGTAGCAAGGAGTTAACCTTGTTTGTAGTTATATATGAGTCATATGTAGTACTAACAAGGACTTGAAACGTGGGTACGGAATGTAGTCAACAATAATCTCCAAGCATATCCTAGGGTGGCCAAAAGACAGTATCAAATTGGCCAGGCAGTATCCATTGGCCACAGAGGGTCCAATTCACCACCCAAGGTGGTAGGGGTAGCGACAAAAAAGGGCTATATATAAAAAGGTAACGATCTTCCCCCATCAACCTCTGCTTGGAGAACAGTTAACAAGCCAACATGAGTCAACGACGTTTTAAAGAGGAAGGCATTATAAGAGGAACATTTTTGTGTAAACCTGGAAGCTCTATGAAAGAACCTTTCACCCCACAGCTTAACATTGATTACGGGTATTAAACGATCACGTTATATGTCACTGCCGGCGTCGTTATAACTTTACCGGCAAAAAATTGTAAAAAGATCTCAGTAAAAGAGTTAACTCTTACCTTGTGGCTTGGAGGTGGTAAAATAAACGTGTGAGCGTAGTGGGGGATGCGACTATATTGTATATGAAGTGCTGCTACGTGAGCCAGATACGCAGCAACGCAGGTGCGCGTGTTTGGTTGATTTAGGGTGTGCACGTGGACGAGTCGTGGTCGGGTCATGGCGCTCTTGCGCCCGAGAGGGGCGTGCAGAGTTTACGCTACGGTCAATGCCAGCTCGAAGGCGATTTTCAAACGCATTTGAACATACACAGTATTGAATACGGACTCTTCAGCATTTTGTTTGTCTTTGGAGATAGGTATTTGTTCGTTATTTTGACGTGTTATGGCCCCGTATTAGTTTCTTGTACCCCGAAAGTATTAATCTTAGCAGTGCATGCAGTTTTGTTTGTGGAAGAGCTTACTTTGCGTTTCATAGGGGTAACCGTTATAGCCTATGATTTTTTACACAACCGCGTTATCATCCATTAAATTTAATAATCAGTATTGTAGTTTTGAACAAAATTAACGGTAATCATTTTGGCGATGAAGTGATATTAACTAATTGTAATAGAGTATTTTTATTCTATTCCTCGAGTTGGATAACCCCTACCTCAGAACAAATCCACGCGTGCACGTGTCTCTTTGTTCTTGTACCGGCTGTACTTTGTACCTTGATACCTGATTTATTTCTAGGGTCTCGTGTACGACCACTTCCTGGCGACATCTTGCGAAACTATTCCAGACTGCAGCTTTTCCAATACTCGACAGTACCGCGTCATGGCGCATGGCCATCTACCGCTGTCCTAAAAGCCCCTTTACACTATTTGTCAAACAAATCTGAATTTGGGCGCACAGTCGTCTCCATCCAGTGGAAAGGCTGTACAAGAATCAAGATAAAGTCAATGTTGCTAAAACTCCGATGTGAGACCCAAAACAACCGCCGGTATGATACCAGTACCGAACACTTTTTTTCAAAAAGATATTTTAAAAACGACGCCAATATTTCTAAACCTCCATAAATATATCTCCTGTAATAAAATTGTAATGAATATGAAAATAACAACAAAATTTGTTAAGAATTATCTTCAGTAATTTTCCATTGGCCATATGACGTCATTTTCAAACTACACGGTTTGTCAACAGTTACGCGCAGACGAGGATTTGGACGCTCTGTTAAAATTGTCCAAAAACATTATTCTTTCCATTATTGCGTGCAATTTTTCGTCAAAATTTGCAGTAAAGGTCTTCTTCAACTGGCAGATTGAAACATAGCGGGGCATTTTACGGTAATTTTACCAAAAAAGACAACAAAAGTGCAGGGAAGAACGGACAACTGTGCAGCCGGGCCGAGTTTTACATGGTGTGACGTAGGTAAGATTGTTGAACACTCTTCTGCCATTTCTGAGCGAAATATATAGCGTAAAAGTAACTTAAGTTTGTTCACAACAGTCTAGAACATATTTTTCGTATATTTGTCTTTAAATTCTGTGGTAATTCTCTGTCCTTTTGGGTATTTTTCGTCGCAATTTCTGGGGGAAACTCGGCAGACATTTTTAAATGCCTCTTGTAGTTTACATTTGACGCAGCTCGAGTTTCTATCGTTTGACGATACATATAAATTTACCTCGAGTTTACCTCGAGTTTACCTAGTTATGTTGCACAAAAGTCGATAACACGTTTTTAGTGACCTAAGCAATCAATACTGAGGGAATGTTTTGTGTTTTTTGTACCTTTTCACGTAATAATATGTGAAACTAGAAAGGCCGACATTTGCTTGGGAGCAAATACAGCATATTTCAGTCCATCTTCATCCCAACAGTTTTTGTCTGTGGAGTGCCCAACTGAGAGCCTCAAATCTGGGGAATTTTTCGGATTTTATCGGTCTGGAGCGTTTCCGGGGAAAAATTTTCGACCGTGCGACACCCCTACTCTTGTAGTCCTTTTATTCGATACCTTCCAAGACACTTTGCAGTACTCAGGATTAGGATGGTTGGCAGATTCCATCCTCGTGATTGTAGATGACGTAATGATCTTAGGCACATAAAATATTGAATGTGTATATTGAATGTGTGGGTCATTGCGCACGACTTTCGTGCAACGTGACCCCAGGTAACCCGTAATGGAGCACTTGTTCGATGGCCAATGGCAGATGGAACGGGCCATTCTTTAGATCGAACGTGGAACGTGTATAGTGCTTTTGGCCCTTTTTTGGCTAAAAATAGCCATTAAAGTCCCCCAAATGAGTCATTTGGATGTGGTGTATGCCAAATATGTGACTGCTATCATGTAGACAAACATTCAAGGTACCCTTATACCTAATTTCAGATCATTTGGTTGTAATACCAGAGCTCATGATCCCAAAATCCATTTTTTGTGGAAAAATGCAAAAAAAAACCTTCATAAAACTTTTTCAAAGGCATGTATCAAAAAAATTAAAAAAAAAATGGGGGGTATTAGTCGACTCTACCTCCATGCCAAATTTTAAGTCATTTGGTTAAAAAATGACAGAGTTGAATCCATTTGAAGAAATGGCAGGGGAAGGAGAAGGAGAAGAATTAACATGAGAGAACACAATATATTTCATCCATATGGACTGAAATATAAATAGTCAAGCAGGACGCCATAGTACTAATTTAACATATGAATCTCGGCGACCAGGTGTTGGCGGGTAAAATGTTTAAGTAGCATGCCATGTTTAACAAACATACACTGTAATACTACATGGTGGAAGTTCAAATCCTTTATATACAGAAATTTAGTGTATTTTCAAATGGACCCCTCAAGTATAAAGCTTAAGGAAGCAAATGTGAAATACTTTAAACAGTTTTATCTTCAGATGCTGTTCAAATTTCTTTTGTTCTTGGCAGGTTTTTACACAACAAAACGACAAGGAGGGGCAAGGAATATGCATTGAGCATTTTGAAGGAGACTCCCCGCTAAAAAAGAATATTCAGCACCACTACATCTCAGCCTTACAGTTGGTAGGCATGGCCATTTATCACAGTAACAATTTTGTTCACTGCCATTTGTATCTTTTGCCTGTAAACTTCAGTAAATTGCCTTTTACCATGATTTACATTAGCCAAAAAAAATCTTGTTTGTTATTAAAATGTTTCTTGTCTCAGATTCATATATTGACATATTCTCAAAGTAAAATTGATATGTTGTAGGGATGCTTTTTGCGTAGGTGATGCAATTAAATTTTTTTCAGACCATGCTTAATACATGTTTCAATGCAAGTTTCCAAACCCTGAACACCATCAACACACAAACACACCTGTCCTTAGTGCTGAACACCATCCACACAAAGGCAAACACACCTGTCCTTGGTGCTGAACACCATCCACACAAAGGCAAACACACCTGTCCTTGGTGCTGAACACCATCCACACAAAGGCAAACACACTTTCCCTGGTCAGGGCTAAAAATACTTAGTGCACCCAAATTTGGAGCTGTGCACCCAATTATTTTCTGTGGGTGCACCAGTGCATCCAGTGCACCCAAATATTTTCATAGATTTATGTATGTCAAGATGTGAAATGTTTAATAGTATTTCTATTATATTCTTAACATCTAATTGTCAGAAAAATAATAGAACCACTCTTGAAGTGCTTTTCATTAGAAATGAAACAGTTTTTGCTGACATTGTACTTATTTTATTTTATATGGTGCACCAAAAAA